CACATAACCTCTTCCCTCCAATATATTTTAAATATTATCGAAAATATTATATTATATATTTTTAAATTTTATTAAAAAAAGAAGTAAAGTAGTTTTTTCAAATTTATCGTGTTAAGTATATTTATTGAAGTTAAGTTAAGTTTAAATTTAAATTATTCTATAAAGATAAAAAAAAAATTTCGATTATTGTCATGATTTATATCGAAAAATATTCGATAGATTCGATTTTCGTAAGTTTCGATAGCTAGTAGATTGTTTGGCAGCACTGTATCCAAACAATCATTTACGAAAGAAACGTATATATATATAATATATATTATATACAAGTGAATTTACATAATTTTGTGCATATTTATATTAAATTTATGTTTAGCAGATATAGATTTAATGATTTCAAAAAACATCAAATGTAAATTCTATAATTTTATATTCTATAATTGTAATATCAATTTGAATTCCAACCACAAAATTGTAAACGAAATTTATATTATACCCAAAACGAATAGAAGATACATTTTTTGATGGAAGAAAAAACAGAAATTATAAATAGAAGAGTTTTTATTCATACATCTTTCAACTGATGTAAATACAAATAAAATACTCTTGTAACAAGTTTTTACCGATATATATATATATTATATATATAATTATTATATACTAACACGATGCAAGTAAGTATTTGTATTAGTTATTTTATAGATTTTAACCTTATAAAATTATTCGCAAATGTCTTTATCGCGAATTTCTTTTTCTATAAACTTCTTTTCTACTGATAAATCGTTATACCAGATCTTTCTGACGCACTGGTTTCCAGATGAGATCCGGGACTCATAATGCGTGTTTTTTTGACAATTTTTTTTCTTGTATAAAAGAAGTTCAAAGGAATATGTTTATTATCAAAGATGTATGATGGTAGCAAAGGGTATATATATAAAAAAAATTGTTTTCGTTCTTTGCATCCAAGTGAAATATTTTTCATTAATTTTTATATATTGATGTTACATAATAATGATTTCAAAGTAAGAAAGAAATGGATTTTAGTCACCGTATGATCACCATATGTTTTAGTTCTTATAGAACTAAATTTTATATGCAATTCACTAAATTTTCAAAACATTTATAAATTAAAATGTTATAAACACATTATTAAAGAAATAATTCATTTTTTTCTATAATTTTTTAAATAAAACAATAATTTTTCAAACAATAAATGAAATCAAAAATAAAGTAAATTAATGTTTTACAACGTAATTACAAAATTAAATATTAATTTAATAATAATAATAATTAATAATTAATAATCTCTCTAATCGGGAGAAATTAATTGGTTAAGAATGAAAAAGGATTATTTTATAAGAAAATTTTCATTTTCTTTTTTTATATTTGTTTATTATAAATAACAAGATGTATATTCGGTGCGCACGTGTTGTTTAACCTGTATATTTATATATATATATATACTCAAGCTCCGTCTAAGTTTATTTCGCTTACTGTACTATACCTTGTTTTACTTTGAGTTTTTGTTAATTATATATATTTTTTTTTTCGCTACAATCTATCTGATGATACGGCGCGAGGAATTTTTTTTTTTTTGGAAATTTGCTTCGAAAACGAAAATTCCACGTAGCACCTCAAGGAAAAACGTATCGTTATCCTTTTGCGAGATTGTAGTAGCGTTTTGATACCGATTATTTGTGATCGATCGTGTGCAAAATGAATTTTCTTTAAACCCTTCGTAACCAACAATCATGTTTTGTACCCCCTTATAGACATTCAATCACCGTCTTAGCATCTCAATTAAAATACAGACACGATATCATTCTCGAACAATCGATAATTTATCTTTTCCTTTCCTCTTTTTCTTTTTTTTTCTTTTTTTTTTTTTTTTCCCTCCATTCGATCATAACGAATATAATACAATTTGTAAATTAATTCTTACTAATGATATGCGTCTCATGAACATCTTCAATGAAAGATCAAAGGTTATGATTAGATCTTGTTGAACGGCTTGTACAATGCAATGGTATCACACTTTTCCACGATATGTTCAATCAAATACAATTAATGGGGGAAACACGTTGTGGGATTCGAACGTTGTGGATCTAATCCGTTCTTGAATGTTTCTATAATGCAGTTCCAAGAGCGACGTGGAAACGAAGGGATTAATGGATAATGTGTTTGGTGGTCCTTAGAAGCTACGATTACTCTTATAGCATTCGCGTTTTAGCAATGATTAATGCGTGCATTCCTTTTTTTTTTTTTTTCTTTTTTCTCTCGTTCAATCCTCTCGAAGAATCGAGTTTCAAATTTCTAACATACTAAGCTGTCGACTATAGATCTGTCTTCAATTCGCCGGCCTAAATAACGCGTCATATGTATACATCTATAATATATTCGCTCTTTTTTTTTATAAACTCTCTTTTACATGAAACGATTAAACCTTTCTTCCCTCGATACGTCCTTTGTCTTGACTTTCATCGTGTTTTCGCGCATCTCCTTCGTCTTTACGAGTTTCATGTTAAAATACCATTCTTTCTGTGTTATTTCTCTTCGTTGATCGAGAAACGATACCGTATCATTCCGACGTGCACAGTACACGCCATTGATGGTTGTAAATGCCGTACTACAAAAATTTTGCTAGAATATAGAATTTTAAACAAACTTTTATAATTCTTTATACATTTTTTAATCTATAGCATATTTCATAAGAGAATAAGAGAATCCTTTTTTTTTCCATAAATTATGAACAAAATTAGTCAGACGATCGGGAAAACAAATTTCATTCGGTTCATTTTGAAATTTAGGATATTGTAAGAAATTTCGAGCGTCCGCTCCAAAGCGTAGTATTCAACGTAATTTCCAATGGCGATTATTACCATAAATGTAGCGTATTGCACGCTTCGTTCTAAAAAGGACGCGCGAAAATTGGGGAAAATCCGGGACGTACGGGAATCGTGATAAAAAACTAAAGGCGTTGAAACTTTCAAAAGCTACGTACGACATCATGTAGCAGGCACGTCTTATCATATCACGCTAAAGGCTTTTAAGAAGCCTGGTAGAACCGTATTAAGGTACCGAACCAGATACTCCTTTTTTTTTTTCTAATTTTTTGAATTCTTTATTCTTTTTTTTTTTTAATTTTTTTTNTTTTTTTTTTTTTTTTTTCTTGAACGACTATCTATGTATCCTCGTGTTCCTATGTGTACATCACTCAGACACATGCCCTCACATATTCGTTTCCCTTTTTCTCTGTTCCACGTACACGCACACTCGCATACATACACGTATCCTCCCTTCTAATTATTTTCTAAACGCTTGAAACTAGGAAAGGGTGCGAACGGTGCGCGAGCGCAAACAAACGAACGTTCCATTGCCGGGCAAGGAAACGTTATTGTTCCATGGAATTCAATCGTTCGAGGATGTTGAATCGCGCGAATATCCCCGAATAGATTCCCTGTTCTTTTTTAACGCGAAGCACATATCATACGTGCAGGCCTACGAGAATTTTTCTTTACCAAAAGAACACGGACAGTCGCTCGTCGCGACCGATTGCTTTTAGGCTTTTCTTTTCTTTTCTTTTTTCTTTTTCTTGCATTCCAACACTTCGGAAAAGTGTCCGTGGATAACGAACGAATCGATCATCATCGAAGACACTTCGATCAATGTCTAATTTATACCTACCTTTGTTATCTCGTTTTCATAACTCTCTGTCTCTCTCTCTCTCTATACACTCGTGTTAGCGAAATATTTGGATTCATAACCGTGTAACTTGTCGTATTGTTCGAGCATTGATTTATCGCGAGTAATATAGTCAACTCGTCGAATTCGATAAGAATGCTACAAGCTAATCGACGAGGCTCAACGATTTACTCATGATTTACGAAAACTTAGTAGGCGCGGGAGGACGGATTCAAATTTATAAAAAGATCATCATGCGCTTGTTATTTATCCCATCGTAGTAATAATATACGTAATCCTCTTTCTACAAACTTGACTCCTTTGTGTTCTGCACCTACCAGTCGTACTCGTCCCTCTTTATGAACACGGAAAGCAATAGTGCGCGCTTCTCTACGATGCAGTGCTACCACACATGTTCGTCTTTAATATGATTCGATTTTTTTTTTTTTTTTTTTTTGCGCATTGTTTCGAATAATAATTATCTTTAGAATAGTCGATCGAATCGTTCAATCATTGGAATAATCGATCTATATCGTTATGTACTCGAGAATAAATTTATTTCATACGCATTTCGACGAATACCTCCTTTCGTTCTGAATTTTTGCATTTTCGTCGTTACGTCACTCCTTTCGTTTCATTCTTTCTCATCTTGCTCCTCTGTAAAAGTTATAGTTAAGTAAAATCATGATTTTCGTTGTTTCTGATGTTGTACGAGAATCGTAGTTGCGATGAATACGATGAATTATTGGATTATAGTCGCGCCAGATGTAATTTATAATCGCACACTTTTTTTAATTTGAGATTTCATTATTAAAAAAATGACCCTCGACGAGGACGAGTGTTGTAATGTTCGTTGAGACTTTAAAAAAATACGTCGTTCCGTTGAACAAAGATAACAGTAAAAATCGTCATATCGTTCGATAATAATCGTTTTCGATTTTTTAAAAGTGAATTCATGTTTAATTCTGAATTATAATGAACGATAACCGGGTTTAATGTGTGAATAAATGATAAAATTCTTATTGCGTTTAAAATAAAAACTAACAACTAATTTGAACTATTACTAATACATAAAATGAGAAAAACGTGCAGTACAGGCGGTACAAAAAAATATTTCGTACCATCCAAAACTGTTAATTCTAGTTATCTTAACGTTAATATAAATAAAAGAAATAGGAGCAACTTAAAACAAATCGATAAAAATAAGAATATTCTTAAAACTAAAATTCGAATAGGATGTTAATTTGTTAAACGAAAATAAAAAGTTAGAGCCACGTCCTTGCTCCAATAAAATTTTAAAAAATATCGATGTTCGATTTGTGATTTTCTTTTCCCTTCTTTTTCTTCTTTTTTTTTTTTTTTCTTTTTTCTTTTTTTCTCTTTAAGTTCTTGCATGGTTTGTCATTCGAAAAAAATCAATGGTAATTTTTTTCAAGAAAAATTTAACAAACGACTGCCTCCGATATGGGATTCTCGGTGATGTGTATAGTCGCGGTGGGCCAGTCGATTTTCTTACTGCAAACATGATTCAATCCCTCGAGAGAAGCCAGTCTGTAGTCAGCCATTTTCAACGGTGATAATGGTGCCACTGTAAAGAAAAATAAACGAAAATTCCAGGTCAGAGTAATTTGAGTACTAAATAACATTTTTTTCATCCTCGCATCTAGGTTGTTAACCCGAAAGTACCCATATATATATATATATGTTCCGTACATTTGAAAAAAGTAATTTGTATCGTAATTAGAGAAAAAATACGGAACATAAAAACATGAAAAAACGAATAGATTCAATCATCGATTTAGTTTCGATCATCGAAAGAAAGAAATAAAAATAAAATTAAAACAAGACTAAAAGAATAAAGGTAGAAAGGCTTGCATGCAAAACGAGAAACGAAAAATTAGAATTATGTGTGTGTTAGAGTGAAACTGTTTTATGTGCAAAGCATGTGAATCGGAATCGGCACAATCTGTTATTCGCTATTCTACTGCCCAGTAATGTGCGGAGTTTTTCTTTCGTTGCATGTTTTAATAAACTATCTGTTAATGTCCCACATATGAGTAAATGCTGCTACAAGAAAATAGATTAAATACTCTTGCATTTGGAAATAGCCTGTGCATACGTTCATTAAAAGATCGATTTCTACGAGGAAATGATATAAAGCTCTAGAAAGATTTCTGATTTATCGTTGATTGATAAGGTTATTTCATACCAACTATCGATAAAAAAAATTAAGAACTCAGTCGATAAAACTTTACCATGATCTTGTAATCCTAGTAAATGAATCCTCTTTTCGTAGTGAAAATATCGAGAAATTCATTAAATAAAAAGTTAGTTAAACAAATGTATGAATGTGCGATGCAATTTTGAACTAATCCTCTCGCTGTAAGTAACGATATACTTGATATATTTTAATTACAATCGCTAAAATTGTGCCATCAATTTCTCTGTGTATAAAAAAAATTTTCATTCATCATGTATAATTTTACTTGAAAATTCTATTTTATTCCAAGATAAATAACATAACAGCGAGAAGGATAATGATTCTAAGATAATGATCTAAGATCTGAGATATAAAATGCACGAGAGTTTAGTAAGTCCGAAGAGATAAACCCATAACATCAACAACCGGAAGAATTAGCATCGTTTAAAAAAAAAAAAAAATGTACAATTAATTAGTTGCCTTTTGATAATCCTTCAGAGATATAGATAGAGAGAATATGCCCGAGGTCGTCCAAGATATGTTAGTCGTGATACATCATCATCGGTTAATACTTCCCGATAAAAGTTTGAATTCCGACTTACTTAACACATAGACGTGGCCTAACTGACCAACTGCGCGCTTGACTCCTTGCGGCCTTCAATTCCTAATTACAATTACCTTCGGGTGTTGTCGGCGTCACGGGCTTCCGCGGGGATCTCACCACTAAAAGGCACAAAGAAAAACAAATTTTCTTTAAAACATTCAAAAAACAAATAATGGATCATAACGTAGCGTAGGCCGTAGCGAACGTTCTCATAACTCTCTCTTCTCTCTCTCTCTCTCTCTCTCTCTCTCTCTCTCTCTCTCTCTCTCTCTCTCTTTTTTCATCGAAAAAAATCATTCTCGGGTGCGATGCATCGCTAGGCCGTTTCTCGTGTAATTAATACATTAAATAATAAAAATTAAGCAACGATTTTCGATCGCGATTGTCGTCCATGTTCATGATTTTTCGTGCAAAGCGATGAGAAATTATATTTTTTATTTGAAATGAAATGAATGAGTCGTAAAACAAAAAAAAGGGGGAGAAGGAGAAAGGAATGCTTTGGCTGTTCATATAGCAAATAATTTTGATCAAAAATTCTAATGCTACATATTCTTTTTTTTTTTTTTTAAACAACTAAAGCGTAAATTTTCCTGATATTTATTATGAACGAAATTTGAGAACAAGACACGTCTACGTTATAAACTTTTGTCTAAACTACTTAAACGATAGCGTGATCCTTAGCACTAGCAATAAGTAATTGAGAAGCAAAACAAAATAGCCAAAAAGCCGATACTACTTTACTGACTACTTCAGTTGATAGCACTAGATATTAATATATACGTACCACTCGATCGATCCGAGACGCGTGGGAAATAAAGGCGCAAGTCGGTGAACATTATTTTTTCTCATTTTTGCCTTTGATAATCATGTATATATATATATATTTTTTTTTTAAAGCTCTCATATAAATGATAAATGGTGGTGAGACTAAAGTGATGAATTCAACGTAATCCTTTTTCAAACCTCTTTTTATTTATCAAGTCGAGCCAGTGGCTTTCCAACGAAGGAAAGTACATGATCAAAGATGTTCTTAAATCTCAACGTATCAAGGATACTATAAGTTGATATTTATTAGAAATAAATTAAACGATTTATCTCATATCATGGTTCAAATAAAAGAAGAAGAAGAAAAAAAGAAAGAAAATGAAAAGAAGAGTGATCTTTTTTTAAAAAGAAATTTAAAGTGTCGATCCTTAATGCATCAAGGGTTAACAACATCTTGGCATCGCGCCATTTGTACAACATGAAAACTCTATTCGTATAACAGAGACGATCGTAACAACAACAATTAATATAACGATAATCATCACGATAGGAACAGTAAATTTAATTAGAACAACTTGGGCATAACTTGGATAATATTCGCAGATTACCTACCGAGTAAAAAATAATTAATAAAATGCGTTATCTGTTCGCTTTTTGAAGCGAGTCGAGTGGAGAAAAGAGATCGATAATAATTACTTAAGAGGAATTAAGCAAAACGTTGTTGTAATCATCGATGAAATATTGTACTCGCGCGATAAGTACACCGCTCTTTTTTTTTTTTTTTCTTCTGTTATTCGCGTTATTAACTGGGCGATAGTGGTAAAGCGTTGTGTTATGTGATAAGTGCTATCGTGTTTCTGTGACCAAGAAGCCAAAAAGAATAATAAACTTCAATCAGTCGCGAAATTAGCGTTAATCGTTCAAGAGAGCGTTTCAACCTCTTCGTATCCGCTCTTAATATATATTCAATGAAGCGATAAGAATAAATATGTATCAGGATATAAAGAGTAAATAAATAATTGGCGAACGTCAAGTCATACTTCGAATATGATTGCACGACAGATAGACGGCTACAGAGAAGAGAATCTGCAATAAAATCGTTTCTATATTTAATGGAGGGGGAGGGAGGTGTAGCAGAAACAACATTTGCTCCCTACAGCTAAATGCAGCTTAAAACCGACTTTCGCGCCGGATTCTAGCGAGTTCGAAGGCAAAGTGATCGAGGATGACTTAATTTACAAGCGTTATACTTCGTTATTCGGATCGCATATCAAACGGGATTCGAATACGACACGATGAAAAATTACGTGTTAAGGTCGGCTCGACGTGAAATAATTTTCCTTTTATGTTGCCGTTTTAACACGTGTGTTTGACGTTGATCCGGTTAAACGTGTATATAAGGCCAAAAAATACCGTTACTTGCTCAAATGTAGCATTCGAACTTAAGCCTACGAGTAAGTCACGATTTATAAGACACGTTATGCGTTTTCTCGTGTCCGTATATCTTGTTACGCAAGAGAGCACGCGAAACGTCTTTGTGAAATCATTAACACCTGATTCATTGTCCGTGAATGTTAATCGGCCAACTACGTTGCAGGTTATTCAATGTGTACAATTATATCAAAAATCTATCCAGTTAATTGAATTTTTATTTAATTCGTTTTTTTTTATTTTTATTTATTTTTATTTAATTCGTTTTTTTTTCTTTTTTTGACGACTCGGTAATCAATGAGAGGTCATAATTTTTGCATCGCGTGCTCTTTCACGAGGCAGCATGGCGCGAGTCGAGTTTCGTTTATACCAATGAGAATCGATGAGAATAGTCGTTTGACAATTCGATAATTAATGTCTAAAGCGTGGTTCGCCAGCGCGCTCACTTACCATATCCTTCGCCCTGCAGAAATAGTCGAAAGGCCTCGCTTACTTTGCCCGGTTGCTCCTCCAGTACCATTCCGCAATCAGAAATCTGTGAATAAAGATGAAGATTGATTAGATTATCTGTTTAAAGCGGTAGCCAATTTTTATTATTACACTTGTGTAATAATCATCAATAAATGTAATTATAACATTCAAATATATCGTAACAATGAAGATATAATCGAATAAATTACAATATTTGCAATATTGAACGGTTTATGTTTGATTAAAATTTTAATTTAATTAATTTGAAATGGGAGGAAAAACTTACAATTATTTTGACTGCTTTCCGAAAATACAATTCGCAATTAAAAATCCATCCACGAAAGGGGTCGATCAAGAATTCCAAAACTCACGAAATATTTAACAAAGAGTCTCCCCACGGAATTAAACGGTTCGAAATACAATATTTTTAGCGATTCGTGGAAAATCTTTTTGATTAATGTTTCAAGAGTTTCGTACCTTCATCCAAGAGCTATTCATCGGATCTAATCGTCCATTTAACGTGACGGTATCGTCGACATGTGGGCTCAAAGCTCCTGTGATATTCATCACAGGTACACCAAGCGTGAGACCTTCCTTCTTACGCGTAGGATCTAATTCCCTCGTGATGTTCAGATCTGTACGACGAACGTAGCTGTCGATTAATAATGCCAGATTCGTTGGATTCACGCGACGCTCAAAATAATTCTTGTACACTTGTACAAGATCGTGATTCCTTTCCTCCGTGCCCTGAAAAATACGTATTCAAAATATGTAATATTTTCTTGAATTTACTTTGGTAGTTTCGTGTAAATCAAGTTAATTCTAATGATTGAAATGATCAAATTGACAAAATTAAAAAACCAACGCGTTAGAATTATTTTTAATATGTCAAATATGAGATCCTTCTATATGACGAAATTAAAATCATGAAATCAAAAAAAAAAAAAAAAATCAATCAAAACTCTTGTCTGTCTTCTGAATAACTTGATGGAAAAATTCCAAGGTCTCGAATATCTTCGTTTCATTTTTTTTTTTTACGGTCCAATTTCTTTGGTCAATGCGCAAAGGTAAAATAATCTTCAAGGCTCGCCATTAGCGTCGAACAGGAACAAATTTGAAATATAATAGTATAAAAAAGGAAGGCAAAATAAAGCGTTAAGGTACAATTTTCGTACCTTATTACGTCGAAGGATATTTATACCATAAACCTGACCTGCTTTTCTTTTTATTTTCCTTTTTTTTTTTGTTTTTTTCTCTCACGATATCTATGCCGTAACTCCATCAAAGAGCTACGTGTTGCATAATAAGAGCGAAGGAATTGTTGTTGATGGCCCGATCCAATTTTCCACGTTGCTTGGAAATACTCGACGGCATAAGCCTTCATTAAACTCGGTTCAACTTGTCAATAATTTATCAGTCTATGTTTCCGTGTAAACGTTGCTTAAATTAAGTTGCCTTGATAAAAGTTTGTAGATCATACAGACTATTGTCTGTCTTCTTGCATGCATGTCTCTCTGCGGTATGAATTACAATAGCTAATACCTCTTTTTCTTTTTACTGGTGTCAATATTATTTATTAAATAATACCAAAATAAATAAGTTTTATTAGCTATTGATTATTTAACTTTAATTTATGGGTTATTATTTCTATTTATTTTATCTGTAATTTGAAATGTCAGTAAAAATTATGAGTATAAAAAAATAATAAATAGTGTAAAAATAATGAATGTAAAAATAATTATAAATAGTTAAAAAATTTCTTACATTTCTTCTCTTCTTATATGAAGACAATATAAAAAAATAGCACATAACAAAATTTAAACTTACAAATTCTACTAACAATATTAACTTTAAAAACATTAAATCTCTCTTATTATTGAAATAAGAAAAATAAACGAAGAACTTGATCAAAATTATATATTTACCGGAACAAATGACATAACAAAAATTTTAAAAAATACCTACAAATTAGAATACAAATTTTAAACATAAATTTGAACATTTTAGAAAAAGGATATTGATTTTTTTCACGTTCCAAAATATTAATATAAATATATTCTCACCCTGCCAAAGTGATGCCACATCAGATAATCCAATACACCTTGAGTCATCCCCTGCGATCTCAAGTGGCGAACGTTCAGTTTCTGATATCCCCATTCGATCCAACCAGCTTGTGTCGACACGCAATTTATCAAGCACAGAGCATTGACCTTCTCGGGATGAGCAAGCGCGAATCTCGCTAGTATGTTGGCCCCTGCACCGACTCCAAAACCGATTACGGATTTCAGGCCAAAATGGCTCAATACGAAGAGCAGGTGTTCAGCCAGCTCGTCCATGGACGGATAGACGTAGCTGGAATATAATGTTTTACACAGATTTACATTCTAATTCGTCGAGATATCGCTATCTCTTCAATATCATTTACGAATCTATGATATTAGAAAGAAGGAACTTTAATGATTATACGTTGTGTGTCAATGTTTAAATTGTATTAAGGAAACTTTAATACCTCAATTTGAAATGGAATTGATGGGGAACCAATTTTCCACCGAGTCTTAGATAGGTATATACATATGTCAATATTTATCAATTTAATAGAGATGAAATGTATCTCTCCCTCGACGATACATGGAGATTTATTTACGATTTTCCCCAGCACGATATATTGAAAATGATAAACGAGGAGAATATTTGATTTCGTATTAATTGTTGTGCTGATTAAAGTTACGAATTTTTTTCGTTCTCTCTCATTGATAATAAATAAATATACATAAATAGATACTTGAATTGTTCTTATTATCACTAAATCTATCAGTTCGTTTGATACAGATAACGTGATTTTCAAGTTATTATTATAAATAAATCCTCAATTTTTTTTTTAAGTATAATTTTTCTTCCTTCATCAATATAAGACACCGAGGCAAATTTAAAATGTTGTAAAATGAAGATAATCTTGAAAAGAAAATTTTTACAAGTAAGATATAATCAGCAGAAATAATTGAGAAAATCGTAAGTTAAAATTCGTCGACATAAGTTTGTGTGAATTTTGAGAATTTCTAATTCACGATTAGAAACACAATATCGGTTTCCCTGACCAATTACATAACTTGCGAGCCACCGATAGAAATCGTAAAGTATCACCAAGACGATCGAATAAAAACAAATATACTTGAACCAGGCACTCGTCATGATACTTTACGATTTTGGCACGCGAGCAAAAATAATGTTTCTTAACCGTCTAGGTTGCATGAAAATCTGCAATGCAGTCTAAATTATTCCGTAACACTCTATTCAGTTACATATGCGTCTGTCGAGGTGAGCCTCGATCGTTTGAGGTCAGGTTAATCGGATGTCGTAGGTAGACACCGTCAATCTTCTAATTCCACGACGTAAACGATTCTCAACGATCCACTATCACTGTCCACTGTCATTCATCACGGTCGAGATCTCGTCCATATTCTCCTCTTTCGAAACGATAAATAAAAAATATCCTCGTCGACTATCCTCTCCTTTCGTTCGATGATAACGGAAGCTTTCAACTCCGTAAATCTCGATAAATCAGTTTTTGAAACGCGACGAGTTCATCAGCCGTTTCGCTCCAGCCATTTCTCGATTTCACGAGAGATTAGGCAAAGGAAAGGGGTAACTGCGCATCAACCGGTAAGATCGAATCCGTACAAGTGCGCAAACGGCGATAGTGAAGAGAAAGCGCGAGAAAGAATTCCGCGAAGAGGCATGAGGTAAAGGTAAAGAGAATCGCTCTTAAGGCGCGAAGAATCCGTCGTAAACGCGAAAGTAGGGACATACTCGGGGCTTCGACTAATTAGAATGTTAATTAGGTCATTGATTTGCACTAATTGAATTCACTGTCGCTTAAGTGAGGCGCGTGCACGATACTCTTGAATGGGATCTTGATATGTATGAGGAACGTAGGGAAATCAGTTTCTCTGTCTCTCTCTTTCTTTTTTTTTTTTTTTTTGTTTCGTCAACAGTTGTACCGAGAGTTAATTAGCGAACTCGTTACTGGACTTTGAAAACGTGTACTCGAACACGATTGACAATTGGTACTCGTTTATCAACTTTAAACTTGGTTGCTTTGATTAATGCACTCGTTTGTTCATATTCGCAAATGGAGAATTGCTATTTTGCGTTAATCGTTCGTTATTAATCACCTCGTGTTCCGCACGATATATATTCAAATTATGAAATAATTATAATGGAAAATTGATAATTTCGATATTCATTAGTCAAATATATATAAATTAATGTAATTTTTTAAATGGATCAATCGTCAAAGGTATCTGAGGGAAGGATAAAAGATTAGAATTATTAGTTTAGGTATCAATTTTGTAATAAATATTTAATAGAAAATATACTTACTCCTCAGGCAGCGTGGGTGCACCTTCTTCTTGGCCAGGTGCATTCACGTGATAAACGCAGAAATTCTCCAGTAAAACTCTCATGTCGATATAATTGAAGAACGCCTGGAAGCTCGATATATCTGAAAATAATGATCCATGTTTCCTTTCGTATTTTAAATATTAAGAAACATATCATCAATTGCTATATAAATTAATATAGCAATCATTGATTTCTTGATATAAAAGAGAATATAATTTGACTGGTGGAACAATTATTCAATTCACAATATGATAATTTATAATCAATGCGAAAGGATGTAAAAAAATAATTTTAATATTAATATAATTGTTATTTAATCGATTAAAAAAAAAGAATCAATAAATGAATAAATCCTTTTCTTCCAAAACTAATAAGAATCTTTCGCTCTTTTTTTTTTTTTTTTTTTTTTACCTTTGACCCTTCCCTAAATCGTGCAATCTGAAATCTAAAAAAGATAGGAAATAATTCTGAAATCGTATAATTAATTAATAACCTATACTGGAATCACGAGAATTCATTGAATTATGATCGGATTTACGATTCAATTTTTACACGGTATTATAAGACAAACGGTTAAAAAATAAAAAAAAAAAAAGTGGATTACTTACAGTTAAGGCCTAAGTCGTGATAAGTGAGAATGGCAGGTTTCGCTCGATTCCCTTGCACAGCCACCAAAATACTTCCTTTGTCGGTTTCAACCCTCTCCTCTCGCACGGAACTGTCATCTCTCGATAGACATCTCAACGGTGGAAATTGGAGTTGAATATTTTTCAGTTCGATGTCATCCATACTATCTGAGGGCATCGTGCTGCGCATGGAAATGAATTCCTTAATCCCACGATACGAGCATGTAAATCAATTCAGACGTTCTTGGCGAACATGCAAACGAATAACGAAATGTTCAAGGTTTACACAGTCAGGCCAGATTTATTTCACTGGCGTTTCTCGAGTCAAACAGAATGTAGAAATATCGTCGTATAGAAAAATATTAAAACTTGTTCGTTTAATTTTATGAATTATCGTTCCTCTGGTTGGGATTTTTTTTTGATTTGAATGCTATATCGAATGTGCAAATGTTTTAATGAGGAGAAAAGTATCGACAATCCAGGGCCCTCTTGCAATATATATTATTGAATAAAATTTGAAAATTATAAGTATTGAATCTTCTTTCCTAACGAATAAAGAATTCCATGATAAAACAAATGAATTTCACAAGTAGATATATTTCTATCCTATGTATAATTTTGAAATTATAAAGAAAAGTTTACTTGTTGCAATTCATTAATATTATTAATTATTAAATTATCAAGCTAATTATTATAAAGAAAATTCAAATAAACGTTTAATTTTCATATATCTAGTTTCTTTTTAACTTTCTCTTTTTATGAATTCATATAATCACATCAAGTCCATTTAATTAGAAAGTATTAATGTTCGTTTTACGTTGTTTAATTACAACTATTAAGTTAAATGGAGAAAATATTACATTTTAATAGTAAAAGTGTTAACTCTCAGACTGTTGGATGTAAAAGTTGATAGAAGGAATCATTATTTTTTAGTGTTTGTTCTCTTTTCATTCGCACTACAGACAAAGTATCATCAAATATTCGCTACGTCAACATGAGAATATAAAATGTGCCAAACTGATGCTTTCAGGGCTTGAATAGCTAGTTCTGCACATTTTTGTTCTTTTGAGATCGTTCATCAAATAAATATTTTGCGAATAAATTTGTTTTTTTTTTCTTTGTTCTTTTCTTTTTTAATTTTAAATTTTTCTTCATAAGTCATACTCAGTTTTCATTTAGATTTAAAGAAGAGATTAATGATATTTTCGTACATTTAAAATCAGTTACAATAAATGTAATTGATATGATAATTAATTTAAATAATTTCAAGAGAAAATTAAAATTCTACAATTGTATTAAGAATTTCATTTTAATCTATCATAAGAGAAAATGTTGTTGTTGTTTTCTAATTAATTCTCTGTCTGATTGCATTATAATTTACAGAAATGATGTATGATTATTTGAAGTTAATTAATTCATATTCATTTGACCCATAAATACATACAACAGATTACATAGGAATAATTTTCCAATGCACGCTTAATGAATTGAGCAATTAAGCCGAATCTATATCACTTCATGAATATGTTAAAATCCATACATATGTAATAAACAATTTGTACTACAAACATGTAGTTCTCTATATAATCATCGGCTACAAAAATATTTAAATGATGTAAATAAAATTTTCAACGATAAAAATATATGGATCTTTAATACTTTTCAATACTTTTTCCTTTCTTTTAAAAATATTAATTTTCCAATTAAAATAGAGCAACGTACTATTGCAGAAAATATCGACGAACATGTCACATAAAAATTTTAATTAAAATATAAAAGAATACTGAAAGTTTGAGGGTAAAGGTTTCACCCCTTCGAAGAGATTTCTCGTTGAAAAAAATTGCTCCACGTAGATAGATAGAATCCATTATGCTCTCATACGTACGAAAACTTTCATCAAAATTCTAAATTTTCGGGCTATATACGAATTTCGTTTCGAATATATTTCTACACTGTCCCAATCTCCTCCTATCGACGTACCAAATAAAAATTATTCCTTCGTGAATTTCAAAGTATCGAATATTTTTTTTAACGCAATTCCAATATTTCCTCCACATTGTTATTACATGTATTTTTCATCAGCTTCACCGGTGACAAACGACCGCCAATGCCAGTGACGTTACCGGTGTGCGTGATGATGTGCGTTATCGGGCGCGCGCCCACGGAAGTCGAGGATGATTTGCATAAAACAGTGTGGTAACGTTTAATAAACGAACGCGTACTTGCGAACTTGCCCACTTTATCAAAGAAGTTGAAGGTGCAGTGAGCTTTTTATGGTATCGATCCCATCGAGGGGCCACGCCCTATCGAACGTGGCGTGGCTATCGTGGGATCGCGTGTTTTCTCTTAAGGTGTCACCGCACACCCCTGCACACCACGTGCTTTCATTCTATGCGGCAATCTTCGCAATTCGTGTGCGCAATTTCCCTTTGACGCCTGCAATTCTATTCAGCTGTAGACACATAAAGAGGAAACACGTAGCACCGCGTTCTTCTTCGTTCCCTTAACGTTCAAAAGTGCATTTCACTCTCCGACGAAATGGCCGTTTAACGTTTGTTTAAAGTGCGCGTTTGTCATGTGAAACGAACGATGAATCACAGCCTTGCTTATTTTGCTTCTTCCTTTTTATTCTTCTTTTTTTTTTTTGATGTATAGGTATATCAATTGTGGTGGATGAAAAATTGTCTGACCATGTCTCGTCGGTTTTTATTTTTCTTGGAAGATATAAAAAAAAATAATTCATCTTTTATAATTCCTTTTATCATATTTTATAGATTTTATTTATTTCGAACGCAGTCATTATATTAGGCTGTCCATGATTTAAACGAATCTTTTAATAATAAACGGATCGTTTCAAGTTTATAATTGAGTTTGTTTCGAATATTATCGAGTTTAGCGAAATATTTTCTAATTAAAATCATTCGTGCATACAATTGCTTTTGATTGATTAATTCGATCGTGTTAATCGTTCAATCAGCATTTTCGCCTTTCTTCGTCTAATGTTCCAAGAATTTGCTCTGACCTGTATTCCTCAGGATTTACCGCGCGACCCAATTTGTCGGGAAAATGTCAGAAACTCTGGTTGACCTGTTCCCTACAAGCTTGTGCAAGTTGGAACGAGATAAAGAGAACGCTTCTGTAAAAATATCGGTGAAAATACCATTCATCCACCTCGTGGAGAAGTTACTTTCTTCGTCAGTTTCCCCGGAGGTGATCCTGTCCTTTTGTTGAACGTTTCTTTTCTTCGCTTTATCATTCTAGAAAGGCGCTGTTGCGCAAATTGATTTTCCAATAATGCCATTATTGCACGTATTATTTACCATGAGATATAATTTTATACATTTAATATACTGCTTCTTAAAATACTGCTTCTTGTTTTCTTGTTACTTCGAGCATCGAAGTATTTCAACAATTTGTTCAATTAATAAAATTCTAAACAAGATGTGTAAATTGATGGGGAATACAGTAAATAAAAACGATCTAATCTTTAGATTTGAAAAAGTTTTAAATGAAAAGATAAAAAAAAAAGTTGGAAGTTTCATTATAAGATAAAAGGATATTCTTAAGCGAATTAATTTCCATAACCGTGAGTTTATCGCTCGTTTTTTGTTTCATCCCTCTCATTTACTTTTGAATGGAACAATGATCTCGGTGAAAGAAGATATGAAACGGGAATTCTCTCTTTTAAAAGCGTTTGGCATTCGCCAGGAGGAAATATCTCTCTGGAAACTATTTCATTAAATCTCTACTCAAGATTTATGGTCGCGGTCGTATGGCGCCGGATTAACTTCACTTGTTCAAATCAATAAGTTATCTTTCACCGTATTACAATTAAAATAACATCGCCAAAAGTTCGTCGCAAAACGTTTCTGAAAAAAATTTGGAACAACGTAGGAAATAGTTGCAAGTATCGATAGATAAATGTACGTTTGAAATTCGACCTATTTGCATACAATAGCATTAAAGACAAGGTATTTTACTCGAGAAGCCATAATCGAACGCTTAAATGTCGAACGACATTAATGGATTTAATCATCTTCAAAGTGAAAACGATTTCTCACGTTGTGAAATCTGATGATAAAATCGCGTATTTAGATATACAGTAGCATTCCGTTGGCTCTGATGAGAACTTTGAATTATATTTCACTGATAATGTATATCATACTTCGAGATTTAACATGAAGAGAAAAAAATATAAATCCAAGAGGGAGAATTTTTATTTTATAAGTTTTATTTCTTCCCAATCCTAAAACAGAAACGATTAAATTCATTTGGGGGAAAAAAGAAAAGAAAAGAAAATATTTCGTCGAAATATTTTCTCTTTACAAACATTTATTTATTATATATATGAATCGGAATAATAATTGCCATAATTTTGTAAAATGTTTCAATAAAATTTCATCAAAGTTTTTTCATCTTTCTCTTTTACATTTTAAATCAAGGAGTATAATAATAAAATAATCGTTATTCGAAATGATTGCATATGGAAATTCTAATGAAGAAAAGAAAAAAGAAAAATCGAACCACCGAGGATATTAATTGGCCATTTATTACTATCGATCATTATGAAACTTTAAAGATATCGAGATGCTTCATCCTATCTTAATTGTTTCTAATTATGGTACTATAATGGGAATATACATTAACAATTATTATTATTTTTACGATGAAGTAAAACGTGACGAAATACAGAATGGATAAGAAAACTTTTCATACAAGTTTATCTTCTTTTTATAGTTTAATTTATTTCCCATAAATATTTTATAACTCACTTTATCTCTCATAAAGACAATATTAGGTCATATTCGTTATTAGTTATTAATTTCTATCGAGTATTATTAATTTGAACGAATAACGCAACATTCTTTCTTCTTGTATGTATCATTATTTTTCTTTACATACGTTACGTTTATGTTTATTTTAACTGTAAAACGTGTAATATGAAAAACGAGTCTAAATAATATTTTGTCTTTATAATACATTTTTCTTTTTTAACAAAACGTTTTTAATGTATTAACTCTTTTACGAAGATATACGAAGAATAAAATGAAATTTCACGTTTTCATTCTGTTTTTTGATACCGTTTTCATTAAAATTTTCTTTGAAACACAGCGTTTGAAGAATTTCACGTATAAAGAACAAATTGAAATTCCGCGTCTTAACCTCCATCCTTCTTTCATTT